TTCCATTAAAAACAAAAAAAACATTTATTAAGCTCTAATTACATAATACCGAGGACTGGCTTAGGTGCTATGGATAAAAAAGATGGAAAAAAAAAAGGATACAGGTTGTTCCAAGGGAGTTATTTGCCAAAGAACTATAATATAAGGTAGAATGTGATGGAACCATGAAAGAGATGAGATAGACTGATCTTGGAAAATTTTTAAGAGAATCACTTTCGGCTGGGGGCTCAGAGAAGGATTCATGGAGGAGTTGGATCATGGCTGATCCTTGAAAGAAAAGAGTTAACTGATCTACAAGCATGTATTAAACACCTTCTATGTGCAAGGCACTCTGCTAGGTGCTAGGGATTTCAAAAGGTGTTGTATGACTTTAGATTATAGTGTATGTATTATATCCTTCACCAATAAGCTACATGAAGGCAGGGACTACCCAATCTAAACTTTACATTTCCCTCAGTTACTATCATTGTGAACTGCACATAGTTGGTACTTATCAAATGCTTATTGAATTGAATTAGAGAAACTGAACATAATCAGTCCCTGTTTTCTATTCTTCATGGCTAGAACTCTGAGGTACTGATGCCTTTGCCACATCCACGAGGAGTAGGCAATAAGGAACAGGGCAGCCCTGGAACGGCTATGATGAGATGATTTTATAAGAATCATCATCATCATCATGATCATCATCTTCTCCTTCTTCTCCTCCTCCTTCTCCTTTCTACCTGTATCCTTGTTTTCTCAACCACATGCATCCCTATTTTTAAGCTTTCAAAGTCTTGAACAAGGTTAATCACAAACTCTGGCCTCAAAGAAGCCCTGCTAGTTGTAAGTAATGACAAGGCAGAAACTAAGCAAGAGAAGGAAGTGGTCACTGAGGAGGGGGAGATACAGAATATTCTGACTGAATTGGAGGAGGGGGCCATTTTTTCCCTTCATGCTCCATCTGATCAGCCAATGATGGATTTAGAGTTGAAAGGGGCCTTAGAGGACATTCGATTCAGCCTTTTCATTTTACAAAAGAAGAAACTGAGGTCTGAAGAGGTCAAGTGACTTGTTAAGACCATGCAGGTAGTAAGCAGCAGAGCCAGATTTCAAATCTATGTCTTTAAACTCAAAATATGGTGCTTTTTCCACAGTGCCACAACATTTGTGTCATCTGTGACTCTGCAGTGGAAGGGTAAATAAGAATACATAGTATTAGGGGGACTCTTGAATAGCTGGAGAGGGGCAAGGGCAGTGAAGTGATTCTGAGGGAAAGGGGGGCTCTCTACTTCAAAGGCACAGGATTCACTTCATTTTCTTGCCCCTGTCCATCTTCAGCTCCTCAAGAGCCCCCTAGTGAAAATCAGTTCTAGGGCCAGTGCTCTATCCACTGAGTCACCTAGCTGCTCCAGGAATATTTTTTAAAAGCCAACAAATGCATACTCAGTTGACCCTTACAACAATGCTTGTAAGGTAGGTGCCATTATTATTTCTATTTTATAGAACGGGAAACTGAGGCTGAAAGAGTAAAGTGATTTGCAAAGGGTCATACAGACAGTAAGTGCTGGAATCCCAATTTGACCTCAGGTCTTCCCAATTCTAGATCTGGCACCCTAACCACTATGCCATCTAGCTATCTAGCAAGGAAATACAAAGCAACAGAAAACACAAGGGCCTTCCACAAAAGAATGCATCCCATAGGGAAGTTTATGATCAGGCACTTCCTCAAAAGGTATAATTACATTTATTCTTCACTTTTTCTTGGATTTAAATGACATTTTTCTCCTAGAAATGGCTAAGGTATAAGTGACATTAACTAGAGTGTGTCTCTGTGTGTGTGTGTGTGTGTGTGTGTGTGTGTGTGTGTATGACACAGAGAGAGAGAGAGAGAGAGAGGGAGAGAGAGAGAGAGAGAGAGAGAGAGAGAGAGAGAGAGAGAGAGAGAGAGAGAGAGACAGAGAGAAAATAACAGAACTATGATTACCATCCACTGTGGCCAACACCAGGACTGACAATGATAAATAGCTATACTAAAAGGAATGAAATTATGAAGTGCAGTCATCTTCAAAGAATTCATATAAACCTCCTTATATCACAAAAACAAAAATGGTAGCAGCCCTCAGTTGCAAAGGTTGAAAAACTAGCATCCCAAGCACTGCTCTTGGATATGACCTAAGATCCTGGATTTGGATCCCTCCATATTTTCCATCTCCTAAAAGGAATTAAAAAACAAAGACAGTGTGTTCTCCACATGCCAGGTACATTTAGTAAGTACTTCTTGAATGAATGAGTGGATGGATGAACATATAAATTGATGATCACTTTCAAAATCAAAGTATACATAACATATGCTGCGCTGAAAACCTAAATATGTATAACTGAATCTTAATATTTTAGGGAAGTAAAATATGTAAAAATTTATTCTTGTTAAATGACTCAATTATGTATTATTAACTCCACCCCCATATTTCTGGTAAACAAAAATCATGTCATCCCTAGACAGTGGTAGATATCATTTGCCAGTGGAACAGAATCTCTTCCTTTGGTGGAACTCCTAATTTTTCTTTCATAGCTTTACAATGCATTCATTCAGTCTCGTCGGAGTGGTATTGGTGGAGGGGGAAAGAGTTAAAAAAAATAAAATGGTGACAAAGCAATAAAAGCCAGGAAATTCAAAGTAAAAGGAGCAGCTAATGAAAATTTTGAAATAGAAGCAAAATATTGTTGCTGTGTTTAAAAACCCTTATGAGAAGTGAGATTAACATGGGAAATACTACTACAACAAAACTCTTGATGCTGTCCTCTGTAATTAAATTTTCTTCAATTCCACCTCATCAGATTTCTTGAGATTACTAGGGACACATCAATAGCTAATTACTCTTGATGAATCGTTTTACAAATTGTATTTTCTCCCACCTTCATGTTCTTTGTAGCTGGAACATTGTTAGCAAAATGTTAGCAATTACCAGCAAAGCGTTGTCTGCTCAGCAATGGCTGAATGATCCTGGTCTTTCTCACTTTGCATGAGATGGCGCCATTACCCAAAATGGAAAAATGCAAGTTAGAAATGGGGCATAGTTTAACCTCTGAAGTGATCCCAACTAAGGCAGCTTTTCTTTTTCTTTGTACAGTCTAATGTCTGAACAGCTAGGGAGAGGGTTACGAGTAAGGCCATTCTCATCATCATTTCTGTGTGTCACTTGTAAGTTTTTTGTTGTTGCTGATTTGTTTTTCAGTAATCCCATTTTGAGTTTTCTTGGCAAAGATACTGGAATGGTTTGCCATTTCTTTCTTCAGTTCATTTTACAGATGAGGAAACTAAGGTAAACAGGTTTAGGGGCCTTACTCAGGGTCAGACAGCTAAGTAAATGTCTGAGGCCAGATTTGAACTCATACACATGAGTCTTCCTGACTGCAGGCCAGGTACTCTATCCACTGTACCACATAGCTGCTAGATGTGTGTGTGTCTGTATGTGTCTGTGTGTAGCTAAGGGTTAAAAGCAAGTAATTAATAACTTAGTAATTAAATATTTATAAAGCACCTACTGTATTCCAGGCACTGTGCTAAATGCTGAGAATATAAAGAATGGCAAAAGACAGTCCCTGTTCTCAAAGGGCTCATAGTAAAAGAGCTCATGTTTCTATCACTATCCTGGAGATCTGGAGGGAAAAAGTGGCTTCTTAATTCCCAATCTCTGTCCCCAGGTAGCCCCAGAAATCTGCCAATGTCAGATTTCCGAGCATGGTCTGAACATTAATCAGTAGGTTATAGACTAAATGGACAGTATACATCTGCATCAGTAAGACACTTAGTCTATGCTTTCACATCATTCATCATAAAGAATTGGGAAGAAAGGAGGCGAATCTAATTTACATACATGCAAATTAATGCATCCCTTTCCAGAAGTTATAAGTCCCTAGGGCCAAAATTCTATCTTCCTCCCCCACATTGTGCCTTTTTTCAAAATTAACAGCTAGCACATTGTTATTGATGAGGTAAGTGGCTGAAATGAAATTCTTGGCTTCTCTGTTTATTGTTGTTTAAATAGAGACGTGCAACTTAAAAAGTTAAAAAAACAAAAATATGGAAAAAAATGGGCATGTGAGGTACCCTGCTGAGAAATATGTTCAGTCAGACCCCTCTGGGGGAAAATTAGAGTGCATTAGCTCTCAGCAGTTGCCTGGTGATGTTAGTATTGCATGAATGGCAAGATTCCCTGATAGCAAAATGCCTGGCTCAGTTTATTTTCCATCCCATCATAAATATGATCAAGAACTTCAGGAAGCTCAATGGGAGAGTTTCATCTGTCTGGTATATATTAAATATTGGACAGATGGAGTCACTTTAGTGTGGAAGGAGAAAATGAGAAGCTATTTTTAGCAAAAAAAAATTTGATTTTACCTCACTGAGGGAAATACATGTATTGTCCCAATGTGGTCTTCATATACCTGAAATACAACCCGGGCATCTGAAGAAATGGAGAGGCAGCACAATGATGAGGGAAGAATATGTGGATTGGAATCAGAAGACACCGGTTTGAATTCTAGCTCTAATACTTACTAGCTATGTGAAACTGGACAAATCATTTGACCTCTCTGGGTCTCAGTTTCCTCATGGAGACATTATTTGCATTGCCTATTCATATGATTATGGTGAGGAAAGTGGAACCTAAAGCACTATAGAAATGTGACTTATTATTACAGTTACCAGTTGTAGTTTTAGTATTAGTATTGTTAGTATTATTATTATTATGTCATTTTCCTTCTCTAGTTCATTTTAGAGATGAGGAACTAAGGCGAACAGGGTTAAGTGACTTGCCCAGGGTCACATAAAAGTGTCTGAGGCTGAATGTGAACTCATGGAGTTGAGCCTTCTTGATTTTAAGGCCAATGCTCTTATCTACTCCAACACCTACTATCACCACTACCATCACCACCACTACCACTGCAGAAAAACCAATTTATGCTATAGGTAAAAGCATATCTTCCTAGAAGTGATCTAAATGAAAAGCTCTTACCTGGCTTAATAGGCTGTTTGTTAGAGAAGGTCAGAGGAGTAACAAGGAATTTGGTTTCAGCAACTGGCACCCAGTGATGTAGAATTTTGACAGTCCAAACTCCAGGCCGAAGGGGCAAGTTCAAAGGTGGTTTGTAATGTGTGAACTCAGCACTGGACTCAATCAAGATGTCATAGGTGGCTGCAATGACATTGACAGGATCAACCCAAATGACAGTCACTGTCACATTGGGCCCCTTCCCCCATTTCTGCATCCCTACTGGTTCATCCATTGGCCCGAGAAGTCCTCCAAAGTTGCGGAATATCCTCTCCTTGGCATCCCACTCAGTGCCGATCTGAAATAATAGGACAGTTGCTGAAGTCAACTTGGATGGTGAACCACTCGATGGACCTCAGGTTCTTTTCTTTGCATTAAGTTTATCTCATATATGTCATAGAGCAAAGACATGTGCATCCCCAAAGGGGAATAAAGTTATTGAGTGAGGCCTTGCAAACCTAAGTGATTTTAACACCATGGCAACAAAAGTCCCTTGGTACAGAAATCATTCTAAGGAGGAAGACCTTAAAAAACATGAACAAAAAAAGTGCTGTAGTTAATAATGAAGATATGTCTATGATGTAGAGTTGTTCAGACTTCTTCAGTATCTGGGAAATTGTTCTAGTAAACAGATATTGCCATATTTTCCTACAGTAGCCTAGCTGGTCAGAGAGATGTGGTAATATAAAATCAATCAATCAATGAGTATCTTTTAAAATTCTTACTGTGCACTAGACATTGTACTAGGTGCTGGGGATAGAAAGAAAATAAAAGTGAATTTTTCCTCTTGAGGAGCTTACATCCTATAGGGGGAGACATGTATATATATAAGTATAAACAGAATAAACAGAAAAGAAATACATGACAGGTACAAGGAAGTTAGGGAGGGAAGGCTGGAAGATCAGGAAAGACTTTATGGAGAAAGTGATCCTTGAGCTGAGTGAGGTTTGAAGGAATTTCAGGATTCTGTGAGATGAAGGTGAGTGAGAAGGTGTGCATTCTAGGCACAAAGAGATGGCCAGAGAGAGGAGATGTAGTACCATATGTGAGGAATAAAGGGAAGGCCATTTGGGTCAGATAATAAAATGCAGAAAGGGGAGTAATGTATAATGAGGCTGGAAATATAGCTTAGGGTTAGGTTGTAAGTCGCTTTAAAAATTCAAAGAGAGGAGTTTAATTTCAAAGGCAATAGGGATACCTTGGAGTTTACTGAGTACGAGACTGATATAGTCAGATTTGTGCTTATGGAAAATCACTTTTGTAGCTGTGCAGGGGATGAATTAGAATGGTATGAGATACAGAGGGAAGCTAAAGCAGAGAACATTACAATAATCCACATGATATATGATGAGAGAGAAGGGGTTGCATGAAAGAAAAGATGGTCTGGAGGTAGATAGAAACCACAAGATTTAGTAACTGGTCAGACAGTGAGAAGCTGAGAATAATAATAAAACCTTACACAAATCTGGAAGAACAGTGATGATCTCAACAGAAATAGAGAAGTCTGGTAGAGGAGTGGGTTTGGGAAGGAAAGAACAGTTTGATTTTGGACCTGTAGCGCTTGATACATGTTTGAAATAGTCAATTGGCAACTGGTGATTTGAGACTAGAAGTTGGGGAAAGCCTGACGCTGGATATACTATCTGTGAATTATCTGCAAAGAAATGATAATTGTGAAATTACTGATGAAATTAATAAGGGACAGTACAAAGTGAGATAAGGAGAAGAGAGGCCGAAACAGAACCGCGGAGAATGCCCACAGTTAGGGAGTGTGGTATGGAGGATAAGCTAGCAAAGGAGATGGAATGGTCAGATAGGTAGGTAGGAGACAAACCAATAATAGTGTCATGAAAACTTAGAAAGAGTATTTGGAAGGAAAAGGTGTTGGAGAATCAAATGCAACATAGAGGTTAAAAAAGAAAAGTTTGAGGACTGTGAAAAGATAATCAGTATTGGTAATTAAGAGATCCTTGGTTTCACTTGAGGGATGATGTTGGAAGCCAGATTGTAAAGGGTGGAAGAGCGAATGAGAAGAGATGATCAGAAGACAATGTAAACAGCTTTTCTTTGGAGTTTGGTTAAGAAAAAGAGGAGAGATATAAGAACATTTTGAGAGTACGGTAAAAGTTGGTGAAGGTTTTTTTTTTTTGAAGTTCAGGGGACATGAACATATTTGAAGGTAGTAGGGAAGAAATCAATAGACAGGGAGAGTTTGAAGACTAGAGAGAGGATATGTCTGACGGGGCAATCTAACGGAGAATATATGAGAGTGAATGTGATCAAAGGTACATAAAGCTGGTCTTTGTGAAGAAAAGGGCTACCTCATTATTTAGGTCTGGAGGGAAGGAGAATGAGGTGTCAAGCTGTTTAAGGATGAAGAAAAAGGGAGAAGAGAGAGTAAATGATCTCAATTTTCTTAGTAAATAAGAAGTGAGAAAGATACATGTTAGGTTACATAATACTGACCCAAAAAAAATGACTTTCATGGAAGAGGTAGTATAAAAGACATCATTGATGATATGTGCATCCAGTAAAGAAGTTGAGATTCTGGTCATGTAGCAAAAATGAAACATAACAGATGGAGAGCCCGTGGGCTATATTGCTATCTTTAATATATTAAAAGAAAAAGGCTTCTAGCACACTGGGTCAGACCTCTAATGACTATTTATAGAAAGTCATAGCACAAGAGCCACACAAGATGATGAATACACAAATGAATGAATAAATGAAAAAAGCATTTATTAAATGTCTACTCTGTGTAAATACTGTACTAAGCGCTGGGGGAGAATGTATGACAGTCCCTGACCTTGAGAAGTCCACATTAAAATGAGGGAAATATAGAGAAGGTTTTTGTTCTAAGTCAAATGGACAGATTTCATGGTCTTTTGAGTCCTTCTGATTCAAAGAACAGTGCTCTTTGCCACTATATCATGCTGCTTCTAATTCTAAAATAATAAAATATTAAGACTGTGACCTACTCTCTGAACGGTACCAACTGGACATCCCTGAAGCACTTCAACTGAACTCATTTCCCCCCAAACCACCCCTTTCTGAATTTCTTCATTTTTGCTCTGCATCACTATCCTTTCATTTACCCAGGCTTGCAACCTCAGGGTTGTGTTTGAATCCTCCTTTTCATTTTCCCCATATGTCCAATCTATTGTCAAAACTTTTTTCTACTGCCACAACATCTTAAATATCCATTCCCTTCTCCCCACTCAGAGCTAGGCAATGCACTAGTCTAGAAATGTAATATGGGAATAGGTTGTGAAGAGCCCCTTATTAGCTCTAGGAGTAAATATAAAACTTAATGTTTGGCATTTAAAGTGTTACATGATGGTGCTTCCATTCTAGCTTTCAATCCTTACTACACATAACTCTTCTTTGTACATATTACAGGTTAGCCCAACTGCTCTTCTTACTCTTCCTTACGAGGCTCTCATTCATTGCCTTTGCAAAGGATTCCATTCTCTTTCTAACTGTCCCAGAATTGAAGGGACATATGTTTCTCATGTTGTTTTCGATTATCTCAATCTATCCAGCCTGATCTCTCTGTATTTCCTTGCACAAACCTCCATTCTCACCAAATCGCTCTATGAACTGTCACAGTGCGTACATTTCAAGCTTTTTGATGTCCACACTTTCCTCAATCCTCTTACTGAATTTTTCTTTACCACATACATATCATTTTTTCTTCTTCTTGGAATGCCCTCTGCCCCACCTTCTTCTCAGCCAAATCCCAGGGATCCTTCAGGACCTACTTTGCATCCTAACTCCTTTACAAAATCTTGCCTGACTATGCCAGCCCATCACAATCTCTTCCTCCTCTGAGCTGTGGTAGAATTTATTATCTCTTTCAAACAAATGGTCAGTGGCTTTGTGACTGTTGTCTTGTACTGTTTAATTTTATATGACTATTCCTTCAAGATAAGGACAACATTCTATACTTTTTATCTCCCCAAATACTTTACCCCATAGTAAGTGTTCAATGATTATTTATTGATTTATCTTTGACATGGGGAAAGGTGACAAAAATAATAAAATATGCTGCATCATTCATTACAGGATTTTCTTCTCCAAAGGCAGAGATTTACATTTTTAATCATGCTTTCTTTCATTTGCTATTAAAATTAGTTTGTTTTCCTTAAACACACAACCACCTGTGGCAAAGGAGAGATGAACCAAAAGCATAACAACAGGGGAAAATTAACCAAAGCAGAAGCATTTTCCTATGGATACTTTTGTTTCTGTTCAGTCATTTCAACTTTCTTTGTAACCCAATTTAGAGTTTTCTTGGCAAAGATACTGGAGTGGTTTGCCATTTCCTTCTCCAGCTTATTGTAGATTACGAAACTGAGGCAAACAGGGTTAAATGACTTGCTCAGGGTCACATAGCTTGTAAAATGTCAGAGGCTGAATTTAAATTCAGGGAGATGAGTCTTCCTGACTCTAGGACCACTGCTTTATCCACTGAGCCAACTAGGTGCCATATAGTCAGCCCATGATGTTCATTCAGCAAATGTTTAAGCATTTACTATGAGTATCAATATGTTGGCACAGTGGGAAGAGCACTAGATTTTGCTTTAGAACACCTGATTTCACATTCCATCTCTGCCATTAACTATTCTTGTAATTTTGGGCATATCATTTCAACTCTCCAGGCCTCAGTTTCCTCATCTGTCAAATAAAAGGATTGGACCACACAGTTCCTAAGATCCCATCCAGTTTTAAACACAAGCTCCCTTGACTGGCCAGAGTAAACAGAGCACAGGACTTGGAAGCAAGAAGACCTATCTTCATCCCTTTTACTAGGAGTGTGACTCTGGGGAAGTCACTTGACCTCTCTCACCCTCAGTTTCCTTATCTTATAAAATGTGGATAATAATAGCACCTCCCTATACAGAGCTGTGGTGAGGATCAAATGAGATAACATACGTACAGCGTTTTGCAAACCTTAAAGCATTCTATACATGCTATTATCATCACCACCACCATCACTACCATCATCGTTGCTGTCGTCTTCCAAGAGGTTTTTCCAGTTCACTGGCCTGGATCTGGTTTTAATACTTGCTCCTCTAGGTTCTGGCACAAATGGGCATTGATGATTTTAGAGAAAAAATATGTAAAAACAGGGACGGGAGTGTCCATAAACATAGAGACAGTGTGTTCATAAATAAAGAGTGAGTACTGTCCATTTACAGAGGACAAACTGGCCTTAGAAAAGTGGTCTTGGATTCAGACACCGTACACACAGCCTATTTCAGGCTGATCCCAGCACAAATAAGGCCATTAGGAACC